TTAATTAATTAATGTGATAAATTTATGTTAGATTCATCCTATATTTGGATTGTAAGTCGTGCGCTAGTCGGGGTCAGTATTGGGTTAGGTAGCAGTAGCCTAAAGGGTATATGTAATACTTAGAGTAATTATAGTCACATATGTATGTACCAAATGTCTATGATGACAGGTTTATAGGTATGAGGACAGATGATAGCTGTGGGCAATGAGATAACATAGGTACTGGAAAACGTATTTAACAGTGTGCATCCCATATTCAGGGAGTCGGGCATCAGCCATGAAAGGAACAGGTCAATTTGGACCCAGGTTCAGACAGACAGAGTATGGGCTGTGTGGCCATGGTTCGGCACAGGCCTAGTTACTTAGCTCGAAGTCAGAGACACAACGTGAAGTATTACCATACGTAGGTGAAATGTTGTAACCACCTGTACATGTACTTGTAATGTGATTGTTGATGAACGTCTATGAATAAACACTACTATTATCAACCGTACGTGTGTTTACGGCTGCTGTGTTACAAATGTCTGTATACGTACTATGCAGTACCCAATAAACTTCAAAACTTTCAACATTGTATCTAACTGGGGTTTTTTCTTTTCACAACATAGTGTATTAACAATTAGAAATGGATTTCAGTTATCACTGACAAGACTCAGAAGTCTTAAAGACCAGCGGGGATTATTATGCCCCTAGCACAGCATGGTCATTTTTAAAACAATACATGATCTTTGATTCCGGAGTTGGGTTTCTTCTCCTTTGTGCTCCTTCTAGGTTGACTGTTCTGACCATGACGTTGCCTGATATTGGTTCGGGTTGGCACAATCTGTGGTGACAGGTTGGACTTTTCCTGTTTCCTTTCAGGCGACTCTGGTGATTCCACGGACGGCCACGGAATCTCCTCTTCAATAGATTCCGTGACATCCGGATACACTTTTCCTTTGAGACGCTCAGTTACTTTTTTCATCCGCAATGAGTTCCTGGTCACGTGCCCCGTAACCGTTGACATCGGACCCTTTTTTATAAATCACTGTCGCGGGTTTCGGCGAAAGTTTATTTCCTTTGTCGTCATATCTGACTAGCACCGTATCACCAACAGATATATCCTTACTGTTGTTACAATTCCTTTCATCAGCGTAAGATTTCATAGCAAATTTCTGGTCACTATCCCTTTCTCTCACAGAGACATCTGTCGCTAATGTTTTCAACAGTTCATAGTTGTGCATACTGGGAAGTTTTGTTTTGGTTCGCGACAAAAGATCAGACGGTAAGGCATTTTCCCTGTAGTGACGTGTGGCGTGGCATGATACTGACGTAGAAATTTGTATATTTCCTGTTTCCAATTCCTGTTTTCAAGGGTAGCAGCGCGTACAACTTTCATGAGTGGCTTATTGAAATCTTCAGCCTGAGCATTGACCCTAGGCCCCCGTGGAGTCACTCCTGTCATCAAACCCCATGCTTTCAGCATACCGCCGGAACTGTTCATAGTTGAAGGGACTTCCGTTGTCACTCTTCACTATCTTAGGTGTTCCAAACAAACTAAGTACCTTATCAAGTACCGGAATTGTCACGTTCGCCGACAGAGAGCGTGTTATCTCTACTACCGGGTATCGTGAGTATTCGTCTATGATGACCAATAAATACTCCCCTGTTGGCAATGGTCCACAGAAATCCATACTAATGTTCTCCCAAGGTCCTGTGGGAAGTCCGATATTTTCAGTGATTCCATGCTTTTCTTTTCCGTTGTAAGGATTTGACAGGCCATACAATCCTTAAATACTGTCTCCACCCTGGCATCAATTACAGGGAACCACACCTTTGATCAAAGGAATGTCTTGGTTTTAGCGATCCCCTGGTGCCCTTCATGTGCAAGACTTATTGCTGTCTCTCAACATGACAGGTATCACAGTTCTTGTATCCCTCAGTAGAATATTGTCAGAGTGTACCGTCAGTTCATCCCAGACTGCCCTTAATGCTGTCAACTCTTCCATGTCATACTTATCATCAGATCTCAGCTGTTTCATTTCATACCACCTCCCTGTCCTAGTATATTCTATAGCCTTTTGAAGAGTGGGACTTCCAAGAGTTGCTTCCCTTATCTGATCCAGTGATATAGCCTTTGGTACAGCCTCAGTCATGATGACGTTTACAAACTCCTCAGCTATCTTCTGTTCCTGTGAACTTTGTTTCAGAGGTCTGTCTTTTAGTGGATGTCTGGACATGTAATCACCTATATTGCTATCACCAGGCTCATACGTTATTGAAAACTTATAGGGTTGTAACCGTAGATTCCATCGCTCAATCCGGAGACTTGGCAGCTTGGTCTTTTGCTAGATGTTCTCAAGTGGTTTATGATCAGTGATCGCAGTGAAATTTGACAGTCCTCGTAGATATAGGTCAAAGTGTTCTCACGCCCACACAACTGCAAGCGCTTCTCGCTCTATCTGACTGTATCGCGACGCAACTGAAGTAAGAGCGCGACTCGCGTAACACACTATTTTATCCTGTACTAATACCGTTCCAAATCCAAATGGGCTGGAATCCACTCGGACCTCCACTGACTTGTCTGGATCATAATATGCCATGACTGTGTCGCTAGATAGGCTACGTTTCAGTTCAACAAAAGCTTTCTCGTGCTTCTCATTCCAAGTCCATGGTGCATATTTGTGTGTAAGCTCTCTCAGTGGTTCACATATATCAGCATATCCTTTAACGAATCTTGCACAATAATTCGCCATCCCCCTGAAGCTCCGCAGCTCCTTAACATTATGAGGTTCCTCAACTTCATCTACGGTTCTCACTTTCTCAGTGTTGGGTGAAATATCCTGTGCTCCAATTACCACACCAAAGAATGTTATTTTGTCCTTTCTGAATTTTGGACCATTTAAAGTTGGACCACTGTCACGCAGCCTTTGAAGTACTTTCTGTAGAGCTATATCATGCTCCTTCCTGTTCCGACCATACACAAGAATATCGTCTGAGATGTTCCGTGCCCCTTCAATGTTCCGTATGGCTTCCTGAAATAGCTCAGAGGCTGAAGATATATGTACCGAAATTGAGCCTCTTATATCTGTATATTTCCATGTGGGTGTTGAATGTTGTGATGTACCGTGACTCGGGCTCCAGCTTAAGTTGATAATAGCCACTACGCATATCCAATTGACTGAATACTTCTAAACCATTCAAATCCACAATGAGCTCTTCAATAGTAGGTAGAGTGTGTTGTTCCCTATATATGGCTTTGTTGACCTCCCTCATATCTATGCATAATCTATGCATCAGGATTCCTTTTGGGGGGCACATCTGGGTCTATGTGAAGCTTGACTTGTCGGTTTCGAAGCTTTTCTATCCCTTTAAATAGATATGGGAACTTACGTTCCACGTTCTCTAGCTCCTGGCGAACCTGATTCACTTTTATTTTAATCACCGACATATTGCTGGCTGTAGGGTAACCCATGATAGAGCCAAGATTCTTTCCTTTCACAACATAGAACTCTATAATGTCAAACTCTGACTTGGTATCGACATGTAAATTACAAGTCCCATTACTTTGAGAGTACCACTGTTACCATATGGAACTAGTCGTCCCTGGTTCTTAGTCTTCATCAGAGCGGGTCGTCCTATACAGTTATAGTCTGATTCGTCGAGAATGTTGACAGAGGATCCACTATCCACAAGGAGCTTAAGTTGTCTCCCCTCTGTGTTTACATTTATGAATGGCCCTTTTACAGCATAGACATGTTCATCGTTACCTGCTAGATTCACCCCATAGCAGTAACTATCATCACTGTCCTCCTTTGTCTCAGTGTCCACAGCGTTTGCTTTCCTTTTATACCTGTTTTCATTTGTCCCTTTTTCCTTGGACTCCTTTTACATTTTACGTAAGTGACCCTTCGTCTTACACCCGTGACACTCACGACCTCTTGCTGGACATGGACCATCTCTTTGTAGAAACTTACCTCCACAATTCCTAAACGAATTGTTACTGTTTTGGCGTTGTTGTCCTCTGCATCGATATCCTCCTCGAGTATTACCATTATTTTGTCGGCCTCCTCTTGACTGCCGAGACACATAATTTACCGACTGTCCTTCCATTGCCTGAGCTTGCGTATCGGAGAGTTCCATTGCTTTGCTGAGCTTGATAATATCCTCCAACCTTTTTTCCGGTTCCCTCAGTGCTCTTCTCCTGAGTTGATTTGAACGGCAATGTTGAATTAATTGTGATAAAATTTCTTCGTTTAATTCAGCGAAGTCAGTCTCTTGCCACTGTACGTAATTCATTTACAGATTCATCTAAGGATTGTCCCTCCTTTTGTTTACACGACCAAAATTTGTAGATTTCCATTTGTGTATTTTTCCTAGAAGGGAAATAATCTTCAAGCAGTTTTTTGGTATCCGCGTAGGACGTTCCTGTTGCAGGGGTTTTCTCCGCAAGGTGTACATCATATACTGTCTCACCAACATAATGCAGCAGCAATGCCCGTTTTTCTGTCATCATCATCCGTATCGTCAATTTCCATTGCTACGAACAGATTTTCCAAACGACCAGTCCATCGGTCCAACTTCGCTATCGAATGCCGGAAATATTGGCAAACGTTCCATGATCCCGTCCTCGTCGCCAATGTGATGTTATGTCGTGTATAGTGTGGATGGCATGGATAGATCAGCGAACACATATATATTAGCCATGGCACTACTCTGTATTTATTCTCACTTCCGGTTACATACATATTACGGATTGACATAATCTATAGGAATTCCATTAACGGAACGATACCACAAAAGGTATTTCCTGCTCGTCATGTGACATCTGTCACGAGTCTTTGTGTAAAATCCAAGAGAGTATTACGGTCAACTAGGATGAAATGAATAAGTCTTATTTATGTTGGTTTCTGAACCCTTTTAAGTTAGATAACAATGATGTTTTGAACAAACGTAGACTCACAACAAAGATTGAAGCCTTTCACATGAAATTACCCTAGCTAAGCAGTTTAGTTAGGAAAATGTGGACGAACAAATCAGACAACTGGACTGCCAACAACAATAAAATAGGAGCAGGTAAAATGTATTATCATGTGCTTAAACAAAAGGTAGCGAACCAATTGTACACGGGATAAAAAAAAATCATCTGGAGATGTGAAAACAACTGTTAATGGTCCAATAGGACGTGCTAAGACATAGTGGCATGCATATTATACAGGGGTAGATAATGAGAACAGTATAACGAAACGATATGGTATGTTTGGTAACCCGTTAGAGAACCATTAAGTATGTAATTTCACAACATGACGTTAAGCCACAAAATGAACAACATTACGATTCACAACGTATTAATGTGTACAAACAGCAATTAAGAGGAAATAAAACCTACAAGAATAAACATAAAGGTTTGTTTACAAGTCGGCAAGCGACGGGAAAACAGGATCACATGACAAATAAGAGACCGCAAAACATGTCAGGTCTGTTTGTAATGAACCCCTATAAACTCTTAACACGTGCCGCCGGACGAGCCGAGTTTTGTTTAACTCGATTTGAATGTTGGCATGACATCAAGACAACGCGGGAACACTTTTTCATCAGGAGAAGAAACTTTATCACTCCTATTTTTTTAAAAAGAAATGAACGCTAACGTTTGAAAACAAATGATATCGATTTAACGCTGCACTGGTTACTGAATTAAGCACTACCTGTACCATGCTCTCTAACGGCGCGACGTGACAACAAACAGGTCAGAGAGGAGTCGACGGATGACCTTTGTTTGACACCTGTCACTGTTAATTTGCATCGAGCACGTGACTTCTCTACTTCAATACCCTTTGACAAAATTTAAAAGATAAAATTAATCTGATTTCATGCATTGTGCCTGCACAGCACTCAATCCACGCGCATTGCACCGCTGCTTTCTATCTATTATCAACGAATTCAAGTTTGATTGACAAATTCAATTTTAATTGACACTATTTGATTTTAATTGACAAATTCAATTTTAATTGACACTATTTGCTCTGTTTGAAGTGCTTCCCAGCATTTGTTGTCAAATTCATTTCTCATTGTGAATTTTATTGGTTTTAAGACGTCTTTCAATGTCGTTTATTGACTGATAATGTGTTGCTTTTGACCTTAATTTCTTTAATTATTGCAGAGACATGAATGCGTTTGCCATATCTGGAATTAATTTGTCATTAATTGAAGTGCCATGTAAGAGAATAACTTAAGAATTAAACGTCCTATATCAATAGTTACATGTCCTGCATAGTAAAAGAGGAGTCTTTTCATATTGTAGTAAAATTGTTCAATGTTTTATTTATACATGGGGGCTAGTGTACAATCCAGTTTTGTGGTAAAATTTAAAATGTGTCATATTGACAATCACGTTTACAACTTCGGGAAATTCGGACAAAATCTTGTTACAAGCATTATTCGATGCACAATACGTATGAGTAAATTCACTAACAGGAGGCCCAAACATGTGTTTGTATTATAGGTGATTGCTAACTACCTTCGGAAATGGGCCTGGACCTAATAATAGTCCGAACCTAATCTAAACCTGGACCTGATAATAGTCCGACCCTCATCTAAACCTGGACCTGATAATAGTCCGACCCTCATTTAAAATCGTTTACATTTCTCCTATTACACGTCTTTTGTATCCAGTTAAGCGTCCTTTTAACATCAAATGTTATAAAAAGGTTGTATGATGTGTTCGTGAATGCTGGAGCGGGTATGCTGTTGTATTTCCCGCTTTGCAAGAGCGTGGATCTGATGCCGACTTTATAGTGCCACCTTACCATGCTGTGCCGACTTTATAGTGCTACCTTACCATGCTGTGCTGACTTTTGAGTGCTACCTTACCGTGGCGTGAACACTTTAGAGTACCATCTTACCATGACGTGAACACTTTAGAGTGCCATCTTACCATGCCGTGAACACGTTTGAGTGCTACCTTACCATGCTGTGCTGACTTTTGAGTGCTACCTTACCATGCCGTGAACACTTTAGAGTGCCATCTTACCATGCCGTGAACACTTTAGAGTGCTACCTAACCATGACGTGAACACTTTAGAGTGCTACCTTACCATGGCGTGCCGACTTTTGAGTGCCACTTTACCATGCCGTGCCGACTTAACAGTGCCGCCATACAATGCCGTGCCGATTTTAGGGTACCACCTTACCATGGCGTGCCGACTTTTAAATGCTACCTTACAATGCCGTGCCGACTTTAGGGTACCACCTTACCATGGCATGCCGACTTTAGAGTGCCATCTCACCATGACAAAGGCAAAACGGGTCATTAACGTTTACTATATATAACGGAACGTCTAGCAGAGAGCAGCAAGTACCATTTTTTTATTAGGCTTGTTTCCGTCAGGGGAGATATCTCAACCGTCATACACTCTCGGACGAACGCTTAATACCAAAGCAAATCGCAAGGTATTGCTAAGAAAGGCGTTAGTAAACAGAAAAGTAGTAAGGAATGAGAGAAATGTGAAAATCCCATTTTTTGCAATGGTTGCAACAGATGAATTCTGATCATATTATGTCCTCGATAAGAGGGCGAAAAAGCATATCTCCAATTCTGTACGGGGCTTCGCCATTAACTGCCACTCATGATAGCTGTCGATACCAGCAGGGATAATCTTTTCTGCATACTCGACTAGCAGGGGCGCCTCTTATTTTGTAATCTTAACAAATGAGGTACATTGACCATCTACATGTTACTTCCCACAGTTCATGAAGACAGGATTTCCAAAATCAGCAAACTGTTCACAGCGTTCGACTTTCAAGTAGGTTAAAAACAGGATCCCAGCTTGACACAAAAACATACCAATAGCTGACGAGACGAACTAACAAGATGAAAGGCACCATAACCCACCAGACAAAGCAATCCGCCCATTAATATTTAATCACAATAATCGTTATACCAGATCAGTTGTTTTGCCCGTATTTTGTTATGGACACATTACATGAAATAATGTCCACTGCCAGCGTGATTTAGTCGTCAGTTAAAGTATGAAATACACACAGAGGCACGATGTATTACGAATATTACGAAATTACTTTGGCTAAACGGTCCCAGCTTCATTATTTAATTATAGGCCAATATGGTTGTTGATAACCTACATATTCCCATTAAAGCATTTTTACAGGACGTGTAATTGACTCATATGTAATAATCCCGAAAAACGCTTGTGTTCTTCCTAATTTATTTGTACTTGAATATCGATAAAATGGAGGACATTTCACTTGAATCGCATCATCCTCCTATCAAATATACTTTAATCCAAACCATTTGGTAATAATGTTAGCCATGGATAGGTTCGTGTAATCTGGTGCTGTCACATCCAATTAACACCGAATTTGTTATATCTTATAATGGTACGGCCATACTCTTCCACACAACGCAAAGATAGTGTTCATAGTCCTAATACGATCAGACAGCTCTAGGTATCAAACTTTTACATATGAGATATCTCTGTTTTGAGATGGCAGTGCTAGTCAGAAATATAGAACGGAAAGGAATTGAAAGAGACAGAGTCCGGGGAATCAGCTTAAATTTGCGAGCTTGCACGATATATGTACTAATTTGTGCGAGCTAACACAGAACATGGTGTACTTAGTGAGAGTTAGCATGATCAATTAGTGCTTTGCAAGAGTTAACACGATACATGTAGTATTTTGTGAGAGTAAGCACGATACAAATAGTACTTAGAGTAATCACGATACAATTAGTACTTAGAGTAAGCACGATACAGTTAGTACTAAGTGAGAGCCAACACGATAACTGTAGTACTTTGTTAGAGATAGCAGGATACAAGTAGTTCTTAGTGAGAGCTTACACGATAACTGTAGTACTTTTTTAGAGTAAGCACAATACAAGTAGTACTTAGTGAGATTTAGAACGATAACTGTAGTACTTTGTTAGAGTTAGCGCGATACAAGTAGTTCTTAGTGAGAGCTTACACGATAACTGTAGTACTTTGTTAGAGTAAGCACAATACAAGTAGTACTTAGTGAGAGTTAGAACGATAACTGTAGTACTTTGTTAGAGTTAGCACGATACAAGTAGTTCTTAGTGAGAGCTTACACGATAACTGTAGTACTTTGTTAGAGTAAGCACGATACAAGTAGGACTTAGTGAGAGCTAACATGATAACTGCAGTAATTTGTTAGAGTAAGCACGATACAAGTGGTACTTAGTGAGAGCTAACACGATACCTGTAGTACTTTGTTAGAGTAAGCACGATACAAGTAGTACTTAGTGAGAGTTAGAACGATAACTGCAGTACTTTGTTAGAGTAAGCACAATACAAATAGTACTTTGTGAGAGCTAACACGATAACTGTAGTACTTTAATTTGTTGCCAGCTAGTTCAGTTTACACCTGGGAGGAAATGAAGCATAATACATCGTGTTTAAAATTGCAGAGGTTATTTTCAGATCGACGTTAGGCATCATGGTAAACTCGTGACCAGTCTATACTATATGAACTTACCCCGTTTTCACGACGAAAGTAAAGGTAACTTATGCCTGCTACGATAAATGATAACAGTTTGAAATATACGGTAGAAACTAGATTGCTAGATTGTCAGCTAATTAGATGAAAGAAGTACTTGGCGAACTCCTGTTTCCCATTACATTTGATTTATCTAAATGACTTCTCACACGGTGTCAGTACGTGGTAAATTCACGAGCTACTACTAATCTACCAGTGTTATAGGTTTTTACTTCACGTTTGTGTACGTCTGTATAGAATTTCGATATGTTGGAAGTCAAGGTTTTTTTCTGCTTAGATACATCAATGCCAATTTCATTTCAGTAATAATTACCATAACTTTAGTATGCATATACAATACCTACACCCATCTTTGTAGCCCAAAAACAAAAGATTCAAATATCCCTACCTCCCTACCGTGACGTAACCTATATCTCGATGACAGAGCCATGGAGTGATTTCCCTTCCTCTTCCTTTTATGGCGCCTGCTGCATGCTGACGCCCGGAGCTTGCTCCAATTCAAAACTTTGTTTTGTCGGTTTGGTTTGAGTGTCAACTCATATTTTTGCGCAGTTTGTGTGCCTTTTACCCATCTGCCCTTATTGATATAACTAATTGTTGTTGAAAATTATTTTTGTGCCTTTTACGGCCGGTTATTTTACTCCACGTGTGCCGGTGGTGTGCCACGGTCCGCCATTATCGTGGGTTAATTTCCGACCTCTGTTTATTTCGGTGACGGTTGTTTGTTTCGGCAAACGTTATTTATTTTAACCGTTTTCTGATTTATATTACGGGTGAAATTCTTTCTACGTTGCGTACTTTGTACTATCGTATTTTATCCTTATTTTCCCGTTTTATCTGCTTGTAAATTTTTTGTTTACGTTCGCTTTGGAGGGTATGTCTCGGTCGGGACAGCGACGAGGTAGTGCTCATGGGTGTTCCCATTTCTTTGTGGAACGGGACCCTCATGATGCCTGTCCCAGGTGTCGTCCTTGCAGTGAGGTTTCGCCTTGTGAACTTTGTTCACAGTCAAAATCTCAGGGCAAGGACTTCATTGTTCCAAAGCTACCCTCAACTTACCGTAAGACAGATTCGTCTGTTTCTTCCGGTAAGCGAGGGAAGCAGAGAGGTAGGGGTCGTGCCACCAGCTCTCTGGGGTCTGGTGGTACTGTCTCTGTTCCTGTCTCGGGGGGTCTTGCTTCGGCAAGTCCCTCTCGTGAGCAGGGGGTGGCCCTTCCTGTCCAGGAACTCCCTGGAGTAGGGGAGGGGCAGCCTGACCCTGGCTTGGCACAGCCAAGGGTCGAATTGGCCGGGAACGCCCGTAAGCTTTCGCGCTTGCCTTCGGGTAGGGACTACCGGCCGCCGGTCACTGACTCTGTCAGTGATCCCGGCATTCCAGGTGGTGCTGTCGTTGGGGACAGTCTTGGTGCCGGGCCTGTTCTTTCGGGTTCAGGTCCTGGTGTGACAACAGACTTTCTTTCGGGATTGTCTGTGTCTACCGGGATTAGTGACGCGCAGCTCACTAATCCCGGCATCAATGCTGGTCAGGCATACCCTCCCGGTCAGTTACCCGGACCCGGTCCTATTAGGTCCGGTCCCGAGTTTCATTCTTCTGGGAACCTGGGGGGTTTCCCCCCAGGGGTTGGGTTTGCTGGACAGGGGGCCGGTTTCCGGCCTCCGTTTTCCCCTGGCTTAGGGTATACGGGTGCCTGCGGGCAACCATCCTTGGGCCGCCCTTACCAGCCTGCGGATGGTTTTGGGTTGCGGCAGCATCCCGGCAGTTACGGGCTTAGCCCGTACATGTCCGGGTTTCCACCTGGAGGGAGTGGCGGTCCACCTTCGCCCTTTGGGCAAGTTGGCCAGCCCCAGTCTCAGGCAGGCCAGTTTGGCCAGTTCTGGGGTCACTCCCAGCCCGCGGGACCTTTCCCCTATCCTCCGGGATATGGGTTTAACCCCATGGCATTTCCGTCATGGAATCCTTGGGGTTTGGTCTCTCCCTCGCGGAGACGTGTTAGCANAGCGCTGGCAGCTTTACAGGTGTCATCCCTCGTCAATGTCTTGTTGGCTAGGCGGTTTTCAGTTTTGAAAAATCGCCCGGTCGATGAGCCTTACCGTTCCAGACTGTTGACTGCCCCCTTCTCAGGGTCCACTCTTTTTGGAGGGGCCCTTCCTTCTGTTCAGAAGGATTTGAAGGAGGACTCGGTCGCCTCTGCACTTCTGGTGAAGAGGATTCAGGCTGAGAAGGCCAGTACCTCGCAGGGGTCAGCGCCTCCTAAGAAGAAGGCTAAACCTTCGGCTTCGCAGTCCTCTGCGCAGCCCAAGTATAAGCCTCCCTTCAAGGGCAACAAATGGAAGGGTAAGAAGGGTAAGAACCCTCCTGGGAGTAAGAAGAAGGGTTCCTGACTCTCTTCTTCCCTCCTTGGTCGTGTCAGACGACGAGTTTGGCCGGGAGGACTGCAGTCCTCTCGGCTCAAGCTTAGGTCCTTCTCCCGCAGGATTAGGCTTCGGGTCAGCAGACGATTCTCTTGCCTGGCAAGGTCTCGATCTGCCTCGACCAGATCTTCCTGTGGGGGGTCGTCTTTCTGCTTTCCTTCCAGAGTGGAAGGAAATTACGGAAGACGCATGGACCTTGTCTGTGATCAAGGAGGGGTTAGGCATTCCGCTAGTGCGGGATCCGCCCTTAGCGTCAGAGCCAATCTTTTTTCCTCCACCGGGGGATCCGGAAAAGGCTCTGGCGCTCCAGGAGGAAGTAAGGACCATGCTTTCCAAGGGCGCGGTCGAGGAGGTTCCTATGTCGGGATGCACTCCCGGGTTCTACTCCAGAATGTTTCTGGTTCGGAAGAAGTCCGGGGCGTGGCGTCCCATCATAGATCTAAGTGCCTTCAACAAGCACGTAGATTCTCCTCACTTCAAGATGGAGACTCCTCGGGGTATTATCGCCTCCGTGAGAGAGGGAATGTGGGCGACTTCAGTAGATCTAAAGGACGCCTACTTCCACATCCCCATCAAGAAGTCGGCACGGAAGTACCTCCGTTTTACTTGCAACGGAAAGGTCTTCCAGTTCCGGGCCATGCCGTTCGGGCTCACGACTGCACCTTTGGTTTTCACCAAGCTGCTGCAGGTGGTCGTGGGATTCCTGCACTCTCGAGGAATAGATGTTCACATCTATTTCGACGACTCCCTCATGCTCCACCTAGTGAGAGAGTCTCTGGTACAGGTCACCCGGTTGGTTCTGAAACTCTTACTCAAGGTCGGCTTCATTCCTTCCAGAGAAAAGTCGGAGGTTTCCCCA